CTCAAGACGCAAAATTTTCCCAAAATGTAAATTTTGAAACTACGTGGCGCTCATTGGCAATAAATTTTTGGACGAACTTATACCCCGCCGACTGGAGCACAAGCGGCCATCACTAAAGAATTTTATGAATAAGTTTACTAATAAATTTAGTTTTGGTAAAAAGCCACATAACAATATAATAACGGTCTATCTATTATTTTTAAAACCCCTTTTTAACAAAAGAATCACAAATCCTCCATCCAAAAAAAACTAGATTACTAGCAAAATTGAAATATAATTAAAAAAAATCTATACGAAATTAAAAGGTAAAATAAAATATGGGGATAACGGATTAACGACCTCTAATGGATAAGAGGAAAGGTAAGGACATAGGAATCTCGAATTCCGTTACTGAAACAAAAAAAAAACAAAACAAGTTAATATTGCTATATGTTTTTATTGAATAAAATAAAAAGAAGAACGAAAACAGTTAAAGGAAAATAAAAACGTAACAGAGGTTCGAATTCTTTTTTTGCGATGTTGCATTTGTGCACGTCTAAACGTCGGGTTATGTTCAACTGGTTTTGTAAAGTCCGGTGTAGACGTTAATTTTGGAAAACTTCTCAAAAGTGTGTATATTTCGTTTCAAAAGAAAAGATTTTGGGAGTTGGGATGGTGTTTTTGACAATGGAACCGATTGAAAACAATTTGAAATCCGCACCAATGATTGGTTTACTAACATTGGCCATGGTAAATACGAATGGAAAATTCCTTCTTAGATTTAATGAAACCGTAAGTATTTTTTTACCGTATGTACTACCACAGAAGTGTTGTACCGAGTGCCAAAGAAACAACACGAGGTAGACTCTGTTACGGTGCGAGGCCTTTAACAACTAAGGCCTCCTATTTTGGGATATTGTTAATCCGGGAATATTTTCTTTGGATTTTACATTGGGATTTTTCCATTACAAAAAAAATTCTATGGAGGAGTAGTAGTAGTTTTTTTATTTTATTACGTTTCCAATGACAAGCTTGTACTTTAAACAAAACGTATCGGGATCAAATAGTTTCAGTTTTGTTTTGTTGATTTTTTTATATCGAATATTTTCTCCCAAAACAAATCCGGATCGTGGAACTGATTACGCATCCTTGCGCCAACGTCACAACTTTCTGCACAGGAAGTAAGAAGAGATGACTATTGTGTCAACTTTTTACAGAAGTTAGTGTAAGGTGTTTACGTGTACCAATATTTACGAACCATATAAGTTATTAATTAATTATAAATATATATGTTTCTTCTTTTACAATATTTTTTTATTTTGACTTTTTTAACAATCATACGATTTATTTATTCCAATTTCTTTCTTTACAATCTTATTTTTTCCAATAACAATCATGCGAACAATCGTTACTTCACAACATTTTTTGTTCGTCAAAATCGTCTTTTTACGCAGTATAAAAAAAGATTCGACCGTCGTTCCCTAAAACAATCAAAACGAATTTCTTGGTATAAGCCGCAAGCAAATTAATTTATCTAAATTTAAAAATTTTCTATTACAACGTTTACCAAATCCCCCAACACGCTCGGAATTAACAGAGATAACGCTCTTTTAAGTGATTTCTCCTTGTTTACTAACCCCTTCTATTTACTACCATGAAAGGTTTATTAATTTATCTATCAAGAATTACCTGCATGGTGTTTTTTGTACAAGTTGAGTTAAAACTTGTTTCGCAATTTCCAAGTCGCGATGAACGTGTCATTCCTTGTAGTCTTCTTTGGTCCTTACAGAATAAGCAGCGGTTAAAATATTGTCGGTAAACCCCACTTACGCAGTATAAAGCGACTAAGTTAATACAAGAACTAGAAAAACTACAACAAAGAATTATTAAAATAAAAACGATTGTTTTAAATTTTTACCTCAAACAAAATCCAACGATTTTGATTTTGTGCCAATATTCGTTATAATCAGTTTCCGCCGTTGAATGAAAGAAAAACCATAAGAAAAAAACGTGGAGTGGAAGAAAACATATAAAAAATACTAAAAAAAATTAATAAATCAATAGTTTTTGATTCCATTATTTGAATGCTTACAAAACACAAAACATAAAACCATTCTGGCGACATTTCTTCTTACTCGTATTTGGGATAAACTTTGTCCCTGTAATTGGCCGGGGATTTCGTTAACACTGGCGTGAAGTTTTTTAGTCATCAAAATACAAAAGGAAGCGATTACAAAAAGCGGCACGATGCAAAACACAAACGCTTTTCCTGCTATTATGTATTTTTTGTAAGTTGTCGTTACCGTTGCGGGAAATGGGGTGCAAATGTGGATCACATTCGACGAAGAGTTTTCGGTGTACGAAGTAATATCGGTAAAAATGCCATCGGGAATTGATAAAATTATAGCTAAAAGCCATATTACCACCACAATCATCACCGTTAAGGATTTCGTCTAAAAAGAAAACCCAAAAAAGATTAAAAATAAAATTAGTTAGGTAATTTAATTTGCTTTTACCTGCAATCTTCTTAAAGGATTTACAACAGCACGATATCTTTCAATTGATAAAGCAGTGAGTGTAAAAACGGAAACGCCCGTTNTTACAGTGAACCATTACAAGATGATGCAGAACTATTAAAACTAAGAATAATTAAAGCGATAGAATCTCTACCACTGGCGGAAATTCGTACTTCTTATAAAGAATTTAGAACTCGTCTTCAAATGTGTGCCGAATTGGGAGGGAATTTGTTTGAATGAGGATTTGTTCACTTACAAATAAATGATATTTATTACTTACATAGTGTGTTATTACTTAAATTTACATTTAAAATATTTTATTCAATTAGCCATATTTTAATTTGATTTGTTCGTATATTTTTCACTAACATAACTTGTAACTTTTCGGTTTCTATGGTTACATAAGGTAAATTGAACTTGAAAAATTTTTAATTTAGGAAAAGTATAATTTTTACATAAAAATGGCTATAATTAGTTAACTTCTATAGTTAGAATATAAAGTTCGTGCGATTTAGTGGTGTGAACATATCCGACGTATTATTTATGCTGAGATAAGTTTGAAAAATCAGTAACAAAAATTTGTTTCCTCTTTGTAACTCGATCCAGACCACTCAGCGTGTCATCTTGCTCTAAATCCAAAATTTTGGACAGTGTAAGATTCGTTAAGAAAGGACATTTCATCAAAAGGAGAGTAAATCAACGTCGATGTCAAAAAATGCGATGTTACCTTATGTGTTACTTGTTTTAGAATGTTACATTACAAAAACACTAAATAATCCTAAAATTTCATCAATTTCAGAGGTGCCCATCGGGGTCAAACTCATCCCCAAAGTCCATGCCGCGCTATATATGTATGTGTAGAGTCTAACAACAAATTTTTTTTCTCGAAAACCGTTACGGGTTACGGTGCTTTGACGGTCGATTTAAATCGCTAAAAGCACCTTTCTAAATCACTCTAAAAATTCATCAATTTCAGAAGTGCCCATCGTGGTTAAATGTACCCCTAAAGTCCCATCATTATAAGAATTTTTTTTTTGGTTACGAAATTATAAATGTTTTAAGTTTATAGCTGGGATTTATGAATAACTTCACACCCTTCACACGATATTGGCCTCGGATGGCCGCGGATTAGCCTCAAGACGCAAAATCTTAACCAAAATTTTCCCAAAATGTAAATTTTGAAACTACGTGGCGCTCATTGGCAATAAATTTTTGGACGAACTTATACCCCGCCGACTGGAGCACATGCGGCCATCACTAAAGAATTTTATGAATAAGTTTACTAATAAATTTAGTTTTGGTAAAAAGCCACATAACAATATAATAACGGTCTATCTATTATTTTTAAAACCCCTTTTTAACAAAAGAATCACAAATCCTCCATCCAAAAAAAAACTAGATTACTAGCAAAATTGAAATATAATTAAAAAAAATCTATACGAAATTAAAAGGTAAAATAAAATATGGGGATAACGGATTAACGACCTCTAATGGATAAGAGGAAAGGTAAGGACATAGGAATCTCGAATTCCGTTACTGAAACAAAAAAAAAACAAAACAAGTTAATATATATATATATTAATGTTTTTATATGTTTTTTATATGTTTTTATTGAATAAAATAAAAAGAAGAACGAAAACAGTTAAAGGAAAATAAAAACGTAACAGAGGTTCGAATTCTGTGTAGACGTTGTAGACGGTGTAGACGGTAATTTTGGAAAACTTCTCAAAAGTGTGCTGTATATTTCGTTTCAAAAGAAAAGATTTTGGGAGTTGGGATGGTGTTTTTGACAATGGAACCGATTGAAAACAATTTGAAATCCGCACCAATGATTGGTTTACTAACATTGGCCATGGTAAATACGAATGGAAAATTCCTTCTTAGATTTAATGAAACCGTAAGTATTTTTTTACCGTATGTACTACCACAGAAGTGTTGTACCGAGTGCCAAAGAAACAACTCTGTTACGGTGCGAGGCCTTTAACAACTAAGGCCTCCTATTTTGGGATATTGTTATTCCGGGAATATTTTCTTTGGATTTTACATTGGGATTTTTCCATTACAAAAAAAAATTCTATGGAGGAGTACCTACCTTCCCTCTGCCGACTCCGAATATTTTTCCGTCGAATCTTTTTTTATTTTATTACGTTTCAAATAGACAAGCTTGTACTTTAAACAAAACGTATCGGGATCAAATAGTTTCAGTTTTGTTTTGTTGATTTTTTTATATCGAATATTTTCTTGCGTTTTTTTTTATTTAAAGTTAATTTAAAATTCTCCCAAAACAAATCCGGATCGTGGAACTGATTACGCATCCTTGCGCCAACGTCACAACTTTTCTGCACAGGAAGTAAGAAGAGATGACTATTGTGTCAACTTTTTACAGAAGTTAGTGTAAGGTGTTTACGTGTACAATACGTAGTACCAATATTTACGAACCATATAAGTTATTAATTAATTATAAATATGTTTCTTCTTTTACAATATTTTTTTATTTTGACTTTTTTAACAATCATACGATTTATTTACTCCAATTTCTTTCTGTACAATCTTATTTTTTCCAATAGCAATCATGCGAACAGTCGTTACTTCACAACATTTTTTGTTCGTCAAAATCGTCTTTTTACGCAGTATAAAAAAAGATTCGACCGTCGTTTCCTAAAACAATCAAAACGAATTTCTTGGTATAAGCCGCAAGCAAATTAATTTATCTAAATTTAAAAATTTTCCCCAATACGCTCGGAATTAACAGAGATAACGCTCTTTTAAGTGATTTCTCCTTGTTTACTAACCCCTTCTATTTACTACCATGAAAGGTTTATTATCAATTTATCTATCAAGAATTACCTGCATGGTGTTTTTTGTACAAGTTGAGTTAAAACTTGTTTCGCAATTACCAAGTCGCGATGAACGTGTCATTCCTTGTAGTCTTCTTTGGTCCTTACAGAATAAGCAGCGTTTAAAATATTGTCGGTAAATCCCACTTACGCAGTATAAAGCGACTAAGTTAATACAAGAACTAGAAAAACTACAACAAAGAATTATTAAAATAAAAAGGATTGTTTTAAATTTTTACCTCAAACAAAATCCAACGATTTTGATTTTGTGCCAATATTCGTTATAATCAGTTTCCGCCGTTGAATGAAAGAAAAACCATAAGAAAAAAACGTGGAGTGGAAGAAAACATATAAAAAATACTAAAAAAAATTAATAAATCAATAGTTTTTGATTCCATTATTTGAATGCTTACAAAACACAAAACATAAAACCATTCTGGCGACATTTCTTCTTACTCGTATTTGGGATAAACTTTGTCCCTGTAATTGGCCGGGGATTTCGTTACCACTGGCGTGAAGTTTTTTAGTCATCAAAATACAAAAGGAAGCGATTACAAAAAGCGGCACGATGCAAAACACAAACGCTTTTCCTGCTATTATGTATTTTTTGTAAGTTGTCGTTACCGTTGCGGGAAATGGGGTGCAAATGTGGATCACATTCGACGAAGAGTTTTCGGTGTACGAAGTAATATCGGTAAAAATGCCATCGGGAATTGATAAAATTATAGCTAAAAGCCATATTACCACCACAATCATCACCGTTAAGGATTTCGTCTAAAAAGAAAACCCAAAAAAGATTAAAAATAAAATTAGTTAGGTAATTTAATTTGCTTTTACCTGCAATCTTCTTAAAGGATTTACAACAGCACGATATCTTTCAATTGATAAAGCAGTGAGTGTAAAAACGGAAACGCCCGTTGAAATACCTTTAACTACTTCAGAGGTTTTACATAAAATAACCCCCCACGGCCAACTCTCTACCGTGTAAATACTCGAAATATGTGGGACACAAGTTAAAATTAGCAATAACTCCGCCAATGATAACGAAAAAATATATCTAAAAGAAATAATTAAATATATAAGCAAATTAATTAATAGATTAATAATAATTACGTGTTTGGTACACTTCGCATAAATTTGTGCCTTAGAAACACAAAGTACAACGTTCCATTTCCGAGAACTGCAACCAGAAATGTCATGAAGAATAGGGCCAGAACTATGTACGTTTCAGGGCGTTCATTATACGGTGTATATTCGGAATCCATTTCTAGTAAGTTTTATTAAAAGTTAGATATTATAAAAATAACTTATTGTTAGTATTATTATGAAGTAAGCTTATAAAGATTTTTAGAGATATGTTAGTGGAGGTTTAGAAAATGAAAATGTTGGATACTAAGGAACAAAAAGAAACGTCTGGTGTTTACGGAAAAACTATTCGGAAACGAGGTCACATACCTCCATGTGACCTCGTTTGAAATAGACGAAATAACTTGTCTAGCTATATCTAGGAAGGAGATGGAAAAAGCAATCCAAACCCGAAAAATCATAAGACACATTGCCACTTTATGTCAACTGTTTAACACAATTTATGATATTGTTTGCAATCCTTAACAATGGTTAAAATTTATCATTATCGCACTACCTAAAGTAAGAACTTGAACCCTAAAAATCTTCCTTAAAATAATTTATCAAAAATATCGTAGTTTTACAAGTTATTAATGGTAACACTCGCGAATCTGAGTATGTTACAGAAAAACTTTTAGAACAAAAATTGTAGCAAATTTTAGTCCCAATAACATTGTTATCTTTCATTTTTGCTCTTTGTATATGTAAATATCGAGAGAAATACGAAAGTATGAAAATTTGATGAATTTCGTTAACACTCGGGAATCGGAGCATGTTGTGAAAAAACTTTTAGAACAAAAGTTGTTGCAAATTTTATTCTTAACAATATCTCTTTTAATTTTGCTCTCAGATATATAAATATCGCGAAAAATATGAAAGTTTGATGAATTTCGTTGTTAATGGTAACACTCGTGAATCGGAGCATGTTGTGAAAAAACTTTTCGATCAAAAATTGCAAAAAACTGAAAAATTGAAAATTTGATAAATTTCGTTGTTTACAAGTTGTTAATGCTATATAAAACTTGGGAATTGTAGCATGTTTAAAAAAGCTTTTAAAATAACAGTTGTTGCAAATTTTATTCTTAACAATAGTGTTCTCTTGCACTTTTGCTCTCAGATGCCCAATTTTTAATTAATATCATAAACATTAATTACTCAATATTTGATTGTATTTGATCCATTAAATAATCTACCAATGCCCTAAGTATTGTTCATGATACTTGGTTTCTTATCTCACGAACAATACTCGGGGCGGCCGGCGGGTTCCAAGCCGACCGAGATTAATTCCACAGGCCCATTACTCACACGGTTCACAGAATGTCCCAACAGTTTTAACATTACACCGCTGCATAGTGGATAATATGCCAAGTATTTTTTCAGAATTAATTCCAAAAACGGTAAACATTAATTGGTCCTTCTTCCAATGAAATTTTCTTAAAAAATACGTAAAATGGACTTGCTTCGTACATTCTGTCGGTCTCCATAGGTCTCCATTATATCTATCAAATCATCGGCATCTATATACTAATGGTACATCAGCAATAAAATTGGATTTTAGTGTATATATGGCGCAACAAGTTTGAGTGTTAAAAGAGCTTGAACACAAAATGATAACAATATTTGAAAACCAAATTTTAATTAGAACAAAATTATCAATAATTAAAAGTTTGGCTAACATTCTCTTTATTGTCTCCCTGCACTTTTTATCTGTGTAATAACTATTTACATCTTTTATAATTATTTTAATAAAATGCGCAATAAACAGCAAAGGTGAATTCCTATGAAATCATCGTGTTTTTCTTTTTGATTGACAATCATAGCTATTCATCGATCTACAAATGGCGTGAATATTAGCAAAACTAAAATCTGTTATAATTCCGCTTATTAGAGGCCATTTACCTTTCTCATCGTAGAACGTTTTGAAATCATTTAAAATTTTAAATATTGTTCTTGAAAAATGAAATTCCGACAACATTTCAAATACGGGACAAATTCTATCCGTTGATATTTTCAAAACTCCAGAATACAAGAATATCCTTTTATAATGTAATATTGGCTTCCATACATGGTACCGGTAGAGGTACCATGTATTTTTTTTAATAAATTATATTGTTGCAAACTATACATTTTAACGGTAAACGGAATTGTCACTTCTTTGATGTAATTCTTGTTTTCTTTTTCCTTTTTTATTACATCAATTATATCATCGGAATCTCTATCCATGACGGATTTCGCTTCTGAACTAATTTTTCTAATCGTGGAGTCTGATTTTATGTTTTGAAGATTGCCACCATTTATAACTTTTGTGTTAGCTTTCGCGATTATTTCTTAATATTATACGTTCAATGCCTTTCACATAACCCGTCAGTTTTCGTTTATGGCAATAATCCCACGATGAGGAGAAAACCATAACTTTTGGTTTATCGAGAATTATTGAATAGTGCAACGTTTATATGTTGCAGCTTGTACGACCTTGTTACAACTACCTTCAGGTAAAACATGTTTAAAATTAGGTTCTGACAAATTTAATATTGGCTTTGGTAAATTTATTTCATTTGTGGATACATCGGTTATACTGTTGGTACTATTCATATTATTCAACAGTTTCAAATTGAGATTAAAATTAGTACTGTGACAAAATGTGGAACCATTATCTAGACTATCTAGAGTAACAGTTAAATGTTCGCCTACGAGACTCATTATTATTTTTAATTTCACTTATATCTCTGATTAGTTTTGAGTGGTGTAGAAGCATTGTCTGGATTAACAATAAAACTTGCATCTTTTGATACCAAATCGTCAGGATTAAAGAAATCTAAGTTTTTAAATCGTTTCAGTTGATCATAAAGTTGCCTTTAAAGTATTTGCTACGCCAATTTTCATGCACATGTCTGTATAACTTGATTGTTCCGATCTATATGACGGACAGAAATAATTCGCATTTTGTACATAATCTCTAAAAACACTTTCACGACTTAATACTTCACCGTTCAGATTAGGTATTTTGTATACTCTGGTATCAAAAATGCCTCGGAAAAATGTTTCGTTTCGTACCAGTACTTTTAACAACACGCTAGGATATTTTATCTTTCTATGCTTTAATAACCGTATGAGTTTAATTAAAAACTGATAACCTCCCCTTAATTGTTTTAATACATCGTCAAATCCTGCGTTTGGCATGTATCTGTTAATTAGCGAGGTTATTTTGATTAAAATCTTATCCATATTGATTGAAGTAGTTCACCAAAGTTCAGAAGAAAACAACACTTAATAACAGTTAAAAAGAACTTTAAAACTAAAACCAACTTTAATAACACTAAAAACAAAATTTACTATATTTACTATAAATTCACATTTCCACACTCAATTTCTAAAATTGTTCTTCTTTAACCATTCACGATGATAAGAAACATAAACAAAACGAATAACTTTCATACAAAAATTGGCAGTGAATAAGCAAATTATGCACAAAATAGAAAATATCCTTCAATCTAATGAAGTCTTAATAGAGTGCGGTCATCAGCCGTTCATTTTAAAAACTAAGGGCGTTTACACACTGCCATAGATTTTATATAGATTTTATATTCTATTAGTTCGTTTATATTCGATTTTATTTGTATTATTACATCTGTTTAGTCTAGTATTGGAGTGTATTAGGATTTTTTATCATATTATTTGTATGTTTAGTTAAGTGTTGAAATGCGTTGGGGTACATTTTTGCCTATACCTCGAAATCGAAAAATTATCACCCCGAAAAAGTACCTGAACGCGATTTATGATAGCCGCTCGTAGCCAAGTAGGTTCAGGGACGCACTTCTTTTTCGATTTAATTTTAAATTCAACAAAATAAAACAGAAATATAAGAAAGAATATAAAGTTACTTATACTTAAATGATTTTACAAAAAAAAAAACAAGTAATAATTAATGATATCAAAATCAAAATATATTTGTTATAGTTATCTTTGAATTAGTGTGAAAATGATTTACGTCTTAAAAAAAAAGAAAAAACTTAAACAGTATTTAGAGTACAGGGTGTCCCAATTTCGATGTCCGCATAGGCTATCTCCGAAACTAAAAGAGATAGAAAAAAAGTAGCTTACATGTCATGATCTCGTTTTTCGAGAAAATGCTAATGCCGAAAACTCCGAACAGCTATCGTCTTTTGAAAATTTTGCGAAAACGACAATCGCGAATATCTCACTTATTATCAAAGATGGAGTATTATAAATAAAACATTATAGGGGCAACTTTTTACGAAGAATTCAGTGGCGTAGGTAGAATTTTTTTCCCATCTTTTATTTTCGAGATTTTAGACGTAACTTTATTTTTTTAAATGGAAACCTATATTGTTGGCTATGACCTAAAATAATTTGTTATTTTCTTCTGATAGCAAATATATATATTTTGTGGGCTATATTTCTTATAGTTATTGAATAATTAACAAAAATTCATTTTGTTCTATCTAAACTAAACTAATGTATGTATTTAAACGTTAATGTTGCTATGGTGATAACCATACATACTATGATGGAACATAATATATCAATTATGACAACAAAGAGAATTTTTTTTTCTAAATTTGACAATTTTTTGAAGATTTCAGTCTATAAAATTAGTCCAACTTAATTTTTTACATGGTTATATTAATGAAAATTATTTACTTAAGCCTTAGTCTTTGTTGAAGAAGGAAATGAGAAATCATCAATGATTCTTGAGTTATAACTGAAAAACTAAGCAAACAAACATCAAGATAATGAAAGAAATATAAAAGGCCATAAAAAAAGTTTGGGCTGAGAACGCCAAACCCTTTGGAGGTTTTACTATATTGACCTAGTACTTTCACCCTGACTTAAAATTTTTCACCTCTTCCTTCACCTTCCCACAATCTTTCATTTAAAGAAATACCTGATGATGTTTTCGAGGATCCGTCGAAAGCAACTCTCAATTTGGTAGTTGTGCTGCACTCTTATATATGTTATTCATAATATATGTTATTGCTTGATTGTTTAATATCTTCATTGATTTTTGTCATATGTCCCAAAGCTTCGTATTCATCCATGAATGCAAAGTATAGTTGTTTTAATGACGCGTTATTGCTGAAACGTTTTTCCATTCCCTCTAATCTGTTCAATGCAGTATCACGAAACTAGCCGAGCTCCTTGACATTTATCGACAATGTAACAACTTATCGTTCATCCTCATTTGTTGTTGTAGTGTTTTGAAAATTGATTTCACAGAACACATAATTGTTCATCTTTTGTCAATAATTTTGCAATTTCAAATTCTTCAATTTCCCAAAATCTTTTCCATTGGGTCTCAATATTGTGAGTAAAATGGCAATGAGTAATTGGATGCTGTTGTTGTTAATTCATGTATGTTCCAGAAATAATCCAATCAAATTGTGTCTTTTGTAATCGTACTAATCGTACTTGTCCAATGCACATTAATACCCAAAATATTCGTTCATAAAATTGAGGATCAGCAAGTGTAAGTTCATTTGGAATCTCTAATTTATTTGGATCTATTGATGTTAATGGTAAACACTCTGTTATTTGTGGTAAAATCAAAAATTCTAATTGTCTAGATATTGTATTTTGATTTAACTTGGGTTTTTGCATAACTAACAGCAGAAGTATTTGAATTACCAATACCTACTACAGATATATTCGTCTTGTTTGTAATTAGACCTAATTTAGTGCACAGATCTTGTGTTATAACATTATGAATATTTCTGTGTTTGTCAATTATACCAATTATTGCTGTTGACAATAAAACATTGAACATTATCTTCGAAAAAAGCATGTGATGTAACAGTCTTAATGTGAATTTTATCTATATCAGCTGATGATTTCTTCATCAATATGAAGTAAGGTATTGTGTTTTCTGTTACATCGTTTGCAAAAGCTGGATTTACAATCGTTTGACCAATAATTTCTTTCAAACAACTGATGCACAATTTTACTTCTTTATTTGTTGTAATCTGTCTGGTACATTCATACTAAGCAATTTAGGACATGTGAAGATAAAATGTGACTCATCGCAAATTAAAGATTTGTTATGAGTCCTTACATATGAATGTGCCTTTTTTGTGACTGATGCTTGTTGATTTGTATTGAAATTATTATTAGATTTATTGCTTGTTTATTTCCGTCATAGTAGGCAAATTCTAAGCCTGACGTCATAGAGATGGGCGCAGTTAAAATGCCATTTAAAATGTCATATAAAAAGTCACTTAGTTTATTTTATTTTAACACTAATTGAAAAATTGCGTATGGCGATTTACCGTTAGCAACACGGTTAGCAACGAAAGTGTTTGGAGTCGGTATAATCTCCGTCCATGTCTGTGACGTCAAGGCTTAGGTTGTCTATGAAGATTCCCACTCTCGTAATGTTGCAGGATCCAACTTCTCACAAATCATATGGATCAAAAGCAAATCCCATTGTTCAACAGGCAGTAAAGCCTGTTGAACAATAAAAGTGTTCGTAATTGACTGCTGTGACATTCTCTTTTTAATTGTGGTAAATTAGTTATTCCTTTTATATGATTATTGATTATTAAACGTTTATTCTCGAAACGATGTTTTAATAAATCCCATGCGACATTGTAATTGGAAGCTGATGCTTCTAATGAATGAATTGCATTACTTTTTAAACATGATTTAAGGTAATAAAATTTTTGAATGTTGGCGCTTGAATCCGCACCATTCATACGTACATTTTAAATCGCGTTAATTGACCACGTAATGTACATTGCTTTTTTGTTAAAACCGTAATGTCATCCATACTGACGCTTGTATTAAAAGGAAAATCGATACCTGAATAGATCAAACAACGTACTTTCGTTTTCGTTTCAAAGAAACAAATTTTTAAAAAAGTTAATTTTTATTCAGGAACGGAATTACAGGTCGTGTTGCGCGAGATTACAAATTTAGACTTAATTCTAATATGATCTTACTCTCCTTTTATACTTTTATTTGGAATCTGCTTACTTAGATATTAAAAATGGTCTGCACCTACAAGTCCCAAGTGTATAACTCCTCCATCCCTAGATGTGACATTCTCCTGAATGTTAGAGAGTGTTTTTGAATACTTTGAATGCTCAGTTATATCAATCTTTTCTAAATTGAATTCATTTACATAACTGAGATTTTGTAAAAAAGTCACTATCGACTTTAATTGATATATTACCTTTCAGTTGGGAGCTAGATAATTACTTGTTATAATACAATGACGGTTCCGAAATCTAGTTCAATAATTTCAAATTTATTATTTATATCTAACAGTTAAGTTTAATTATTGGGAAATCAACCAAAAAAAGGGGAAGGAATCAAAAAATCTCCTTTAATTGGATCAAGCTTTGACAAATATATTCTTATCTTCGTCAAGGTACGTCGCAGTTGGAAAACATCCAAGACACAAAGAGAAAGGAAAGGAACAGAGTTAAGGACCAGAAACTTACACAACGGACTTTACAAGCAGCACTTTTAACCCTAATAATAAATTTAAAATTTATTAAATAATACACCCTCAGGCCGACATTAACATACGACAGAAGGCCGACGCATAAGTTAAACGTTGGTTTAAAATAACACAACCAGGGGTAACGTTTAATAGTTTCGCCTGAGATATCTAGTACTTTTCTAGCCTTAAAAAATGTATCACAAGAGATCAATAGATTACATGCTACAATATCATCCCCTCTTTGATGTTTAGTGAATTAAAAAAACCGCCTTTATAGGAATCAATGAATATTTTAATTACATAAAAAATCGTAATATAAAAAAGTTCAATGAATTGACATCTGATTTTAAGTTCGATAACTTGGTTTAAAACAAGTCCAAATGGTTTGCTAACCAGTCTGACTGTCAAATACCCTAGGACGTCTAACTTTCTCTCGCTGGGTCCTAAGTTTGTCCTGCCGGTCATGTTAGATTCATCCGTGATTGAACTACTGGATAAAGAATACATTTCCAAACAGGTATACATGTCGTATGAGTAGTATAAGAAGGAGAGTTCTGCAACAGGATTATCCCATATTTTGCGCTCTGTGATTGGCTGAAATGCCAATATGGCGGTCAAAAATCTAGTAACTTTTAGTGATTTTCATTTTACATGTTGGCTGTTATGATAGCTTTAAGTTGGTAGCACTGTAATTAGTTTTAGTATGAAAATGGCGCTAGTCGTAAAGCGGCAAAAACTACTCTGTAGAGAATAATAATTGTGTTGACTGAAGAATCAAATCAATAAAGATTAGTAATAAAAACAAGAGTATATTAATGTCCTTGGTGGAAATAACAACATAACATNGCGAAAGGGCGTTTTCCAAAACAGGCCAAATAATTTCCGACCGCCGAAGCCGTCTAAAACCAGAGAAAGTACATCAAATTATGTTTCTGAATCAAAATGAAAGCAGTCTGCCAAGATCTTAATCAAATATTTTTTTAGGAAAAATTGAAGAATAGACAAGTCGCTTAAAAATCTATGATTTTTTTTACTGACGTAAAAATGCCTAAAAAACACGTTAAAAATAAAAAGAAAGTGCGGAAAAGTGAAGAACTTACCGAAAAATGAGTTTGAAATTTCGACGTGACGTTACAATTTGTGACGTCACGAACCATGCTTACGACGTATTTTTCACAACACAATGGTTAACATTGGGCAGATAAATAATTTGTTCCATATCCACGTGCACAACACGAATAATGTAAGTAAAAATAAAACATTTTTTCAAATTTAATGAAAGAATTAACAACTTGTTAGTCTTATAACGCATATTTTTGGGTGAACACCCTTTGGTTCTCGACGCATAACGACTAAAACGTGCTAAAACCCGCTTATTAACCATCTGCCTGCTCGTGTGTTTACCCTCCCCCTACTCCGAACCCGACCCGACATTTCGGAATTTCGCAGTTGTTTAAATGTTAATTAACCAAACTCAAAATCTAATTTCTACACAACATTCGGAAATAAATCAATATATTAGGTGAATCCGAATATAACGTTTTTTTCAAGAAGACTACCAATATTTGACCCACACCCTTCTCTATACCTAATCCTCACGAGCAGGTATATCACTCAAAAATATGATAATACTAACAAGTTGTTAATTCTATCATTAAATTTGAGAAAATGATTTATTTTTACTTACATTATTCGTGTTGTACACGTAGATATGGAACAAATTATTTATCGGACAAAACGTGACGTCACATCGAAATTTCAAACTTATTTTTCGGTAGGTTTTTCACTAATTACAGTCTGTAATTAGTTTTAGCATGAAAATGGCGCTAGTTGTAAAGCGGCAAAAACTACTCTGCAGAGAATAATAATTGTGTTGACTGAAGAATCAAATCAATAAAGATTAGTAATAAAACCAAGAGTATATTAATGTCCTTGGTGGAAATAACAACATAACATGGTGTCAGGTAATTAAAAAAAAAAAAAATTGGGAAGAAACCACGAAAAAACTAACCTAAAAAAAAAATGGCCGAAGGCGCGAACCGCCTGAGCGAGTTGTCGTTAGAGGGAAACCTGTGTAGAAATTGGCAAGAGTTTAAACAAAAATTTGAGATTTATTTGAAAGCAACCGACAAAATGAAGAAAAGCGACGATACAAAGGTAGCGATACTACTTAATTTGGCAGGTGAGAAAGCCTTAACTATATATAATAATCAATTAAAATTAGAAGAAGAGGAAGATAAAGATAATCTTGCAAAAGTGATACAAAAATGTGAAGAATATTGTAATGTGAGAAAGAACGTTGTGTACGAGAGATTTTTGTTCATGAATACGATTCAAAAAGAAGGTCAAGGGTTTGATAGTTTCGTTATGGAATTAAAAGTAAATGCGAAGATGTGTGAATTTTTAGAAGAAGATGCATTAATCCGTGACAGAATAATATTTGGGGTTCGAGACAAGGGGTTACAACAAAGATTGTTGAGCGAAGAAAAGTTGGATTTGGAAACTACCGTAAGGTTAGGTCGTACATTTGAGGCCAGCAAGGAGCATCAACAATTGATGGACGGAGGTGCAACAATGGTCGTGGACGCTATACAGGAGAAGACTAGACGAGGAACAAAAGTTCAACAAAATTATGACTGTAAAAAGTGTGGTAAATCACATAGTTATGGACAATGCCCAGCATATGGTAAAGTATGTGCTAAGTGTGGAAATAAAAATCATTTTGCGGTAGGTTGTAAGCTAAATAAAACTTATAAAAATTACAATAAGCAAAGTAATAACAAAAGCAAACAGCATAATAATTATAAAGATGAAAAGAAAGTTAACAAATATGTTAAACAAGTAGAGAATAAGACAGATAATCAGTCTGATAGTAATGATGACTATTATATAGATTCGTTAATGTTAAGTAATGTTTGTAACGTAAAAAGTAATAACACTGATGCATGGTTGATTGGTGTTACTATCGATAATGTATCGTTTAAAATGAAGCTTGATACGGGAGCAACATGTAATATTTTACCTAAGCATTGTTTAAACAAATTATACAAAAATTTAAAACTAAATAAATGTAACACAAATGTAATTGCATTTGGTGGTAACCAAATTGATACTGTAGGTGCAATAATTTTGAAAGTATTAATCAAAGACAAAATTGTAAAAATAAAGTTCATAGTTGTCAATGTTCAGGATAGACCGATATTGGGACTTAAAGTTTGTGAATATTTAGGTTTATTAAATAAGGTTAATGTAATAGATCTCGATTTTAAAGCTGAATTTATAAAAAAGTATAATGATAATATCCAAGGAATAGGGGAAATTCCGGGTACATACAAGCTGAGGTTAAAACAGGGAAGTACGCCGGTAATAAAACGTGTTCGTCGAGTTCCAGAGATAATAAAAGATAGGTTGAAAGAAACATTAAACGAGTTAATAAAGAAAAACATCATTGAAGAAGTGGAGTATCCTACAGATTGGGTAAATCAAATAACAATAGTTGAAAAAAATAAAGGAAAGCTACCAATATGTTTGGATCCGACCGAACTAAACAAGGCTTTGAAATTGGATAATTATCCAATACCCACGATAAGTGACATTGAAAAAAGACTTTCTGGTAAATAAATATTTACGGTAATTGATATGAAGGATGGATTCTTTCAAATAAAATTAGACCAAGAAAGTAGTCTTTTAACAACGTTTATAACGCCATATGGTAAGTTTAAGTACAATCGATTACCATTTGGATTAAGTGTAAGTCCAGAAGTATTTTAACGAACCAATGAAAAAATATTTGGAGATTTAGAAATAGGAATATATTTCGATGATTTAATAATTTAAGAATAACTTAAGAAAGTAATGGAAAGAGCAAGTAAGTTTGGTGTCAAATTCAACAAAGAAAAAGTACAATTTAAGAAGGATCGAGTTAAATATCTGGGTAGAATATTTTCGAAACAAGGCATGGAGCCTGATCCAGAACAGGTAAAAGCGGTTGGAACCACCGAAAACTAAAAAAGAGTTACATAGCATCATGGGAATGTTTAGTTACTTGGCTCGTTTTATACCTAACTTGTCAGAACTTTCTTACCCATTAAGATTACTTTTAAAAACGAACGTACAGTTTGAGTGGTCCGAGGCACAAATAAATGCGTTTAACAAACTAAAGAAAATAATCAGTAAAGCACCAGTTTTAAAGATATTTGATGGTAATTTACCAATCGACATGTATGTGGATGCTAGTAGTACTGGTTTGGGCTGTTGTTTAATTCAAAATGATTGTCCGGTGGCATTCGTGTCAAGAAGTTTGACAGATACTGAAATTAGATATTCGCAAATTGAAAAGGAATTTTTATCCATATGTTTTGCTGTTAATAAGTTTCATGAATATATTTATGGCAGGAAGGTAACAGTTTATACCGACCATAAGCCATTGGTGGCAATAAATCAAAAGAATATTTGGAGAGTACCAACCAGACTACAACGCATGAAATTAAAATTAATTAAGTACAATTTAGATGTGAAATTTATATCGGGAAAAGATAACATAATAGCAGATATATTATCAAGAAATTACACCAAAGAACCATCTAAACAAGACAATACTTACACTGAAATTGTTCATTCAATTGATGAGCTCCCAATCAGCAATAACAAATTACAAGAAATTATGAAACACACTAAAGAGGATCCGGAATTAATGAAGTTAATGGTATATTTCCATGAAGGATGGCCTCCATTAAAAAAAGATATAAACTCAAAGTTATCGACATATTGGAAAATGAAAAATGATTTGATGGTTAAGGAAGGTTTAGTATACATAAATGATAAATTGTTAATACCAACAAAATTGCGACAGGGAATACTGAAAAGACTACATGAACCACATTTTGGCATTGAAAAGACTAAAAGGTTTGCAAGAAAATTTTTATATTGGCCGGGAATCTCGAAAGAAATTGAGACAATAATAAAAGGATGCCAGATTTGTGAAAAATATGCAAAAAATAAGACCAAAGAACGACTATTACCTTACAATATCACCGAATATCCTTTTCAACGAGTAGCAGTAGATATATGTGAATGGGGAGGAAAATCATTTTTGATATTAGCAGACTACTATTCTTTCTGGCTAGAAGTCAAAAGTTTAAAAAACAAAACTAGTAAAGAGGTAATCAAAAAGTTGAAGTCCATATTTACAACTTTTGGTATCCCTAATGAAATGATAGCTGACAATAATCCGTTTAACAGTGAGGAATGTAGAAAGTTTGCGAACGAATGGAAATTTAGAATAACAACAACAAGTCCACATCATTCTCAAGCGAATGGTTTAGCAGAAAGAGCTGTGGGAGTTACTAAAAATATGTTAAAAAAGAGCGTGGAGGGGAATGTTGATTTTAAATTGATGTTACTTAATCATCACAACTTTCCAACTAGAACGACAAGTATTTCCCCTGCTGAACTGATATTTAATAGAAATATAAACACTAAATTACCAATTGCGATTAATAAATTAGTACCAAAAAAGATGGAAAAGATAAACATGTATCAAGAAAATTTCAAGAGGTATCAGGAAAAATACAAAACTTATTTTGATCGATCTGCAAAAGCACCAGAAGAATTTAAGGTGGGAGAAAATATAGTGATGAGAGATGTGAATAAGAAGGTGTGGAAACCGGGATTGGTGATGGAAAAGTGTGATACTCCAAGGAGTTATAAAGTAATGGATGAAAGGGGAAGAACGTTGAGAAGAAATAGTGTTTACTTAAAACATACACCAAATAAGATGATTCGTAAAGAAGATGATTACTTACCGTCTAAGACTCTCTTACCGGAAACGATTATCGAAAGTGACCAAACAAAAACAATACGAAAAGATCCTTTGATAAATGTCAGTCAAAAACAAAATGATAATGTTGTTTCAAATAATAATATTACTAGAAGTGGTAGACAAATAAAAATGCCGTCTTATCTTGCGGATTTTGTACATTAGCTTAAAGAGAGGGAGGTGTTATGATAGCTTTAAGTTGGTAGCACTGTAATTAGTTTTAGCATGAAAATGGCGCTAGTTGTAAAGCGGCAAAAACTACTCTGTAGAGAATAATAATTGTGTTGACTGAAGAATCAAATCAATAAAGATTAGTAATAAAAACAAGAGTATATTAATGTCCTTGGTGGAAATAACAACATAACAGCCGGGATATAAGTAACGTTAGTGTATGTCCTCCACCACGATTTCACTTAAACGACCGTTTTTTGGTAATAACACTGGATGACGATGATCGAATGGTATTATCGCGTTTTTCAACCGACCGCCTACCCTTATCAATCCTTCACTGTCTAGGAAAGCAGCTAGCTTTCTAAAAGGTTTTTCAGGAAGTTTATTTGTTTGGATTTGACGGATCAGTTGAGCAAAGTTTTGTTTTTGAACATGATAAACAATTGTAAACTTACTACTCATCTCTATTTAGTTAACTGTACTCGAAGATGATTGATTACTTGTTTACTTACTACTCAAATTGAATGTAATATATAAACATTACATATATGTTTATAGTATAGAAACGATTTTTATACAAAAGTAGTTATGACCTAATAAACACAAGTGAAAGGCAAAAACTATCAACACATATCAACATATTTTTTTAATACTCTGAAAGCAAACAGATGAAAAAATGATAATTTTTACATGAATTATTTTTATAAGAAATCATAATATAAATACATCACCTTAAAAGATATAAGTCAGTTCAAGAAATAACACCAATAGCAACAGTCAACCACATAAAGAAGACCATGGATAGTCTAAGATTATTGAACAACACATCTAACGGATTTAGAAAATTCAGCCAATAATAACATCGAGTGTAAAACATTCATGCGCTACTAGATTAAAACGTTAGTTTGCTTTTGGATGGGGAAAGAAATGAATTTTTAAGAAAAACAAAATACTATCGTAAAAAAAATGTTTTTAGGATCTCAACAACAAAAAAAAAATTTTGGCATTCCATTTAAAAAAAAGTAGACAGTTGCCATTTTGAAATAATTCGTCCAATTGAAAATATGATATCACCATCGTGCAGAAAATGTTTTCTTGTGAAAAATGTCAACAAGTGTTTTCATTGAAATACAATTTGAATCGACATATGCGCAATAAGCATTGGTTGAAACCTTGTATTGATAAGAACACAAAATTACGTCAATCCGCTTAAAATGATTTCAAAAGACGCTTTGCGGAAGAGGTAGGTCAAAACAAGGAGCACGCAGTCTAATCGCAAAGTTTTTATTGAAACCTTTTCGGCAATTCAAATGGAGCGACTTCTTGTTGTTTACAACAAACCTACATACGTTGGTTTTACATTTTTAGAAATTTCAAAATTGTTAATGTATGAATTCTATTATAATTTTTTTTGTTATATGGATACGGACAGCTTCACTGTACATATTAACACCGATGACCTATATGAAGATATTAAATTAAATTTAGATAAATTTGACACGTCGAATTACCATCTGGATAATAGTAATTATGACGGACTTTATCGGGTTACGATCGAAAATGTACGCAAATCGTGTTATTGATGGTCGTGTTACAAAAAAAGCTAAAGGTGTGAAAAAAGCTGTTGTGAAACATAAAATTAAATTTGAAAATTATTTCTACTGTTTAACTTTGAAAAACACTATGTTTGCAAAACAAATCTTATTTAGAAGTTGTAATCACACCGTATAGACGGTATTACAAAATAAATTGCTTCTTTCACCATACGATGCCAAGAGGTTTATTAAAGATGATGGTATAGATACGTTAGCTTGGGGTCATAACCGTACTGTTAGTAGTAGTAGTGAGGGTACATTACCAACTCTTAAACCTTAAACGTTAGCTTTTTTTAATATACCTACTTTTATCATTTAAGAATCTTTATCAAAGAAAATAATCTTGATGGTGTTAATATCATATTGGAAAAATAATTATCCCAAACCAGATTTTAAAATATCGAAATCTACACCTAGTTCTTAGAGATAAACTCAATTTTGATTATGTTGTTAAGCAATCATTAGAATCGCTTAATTGTTACGAGCGAAACAACAACAATGANTGAAAAACTCAATTTTGATCATGTTGTTAAGCAATCATTAGAATCGCTTAATTGTTACGAGCGAAACAACAACAATGAATTGAAGGTTAAAGATCTAGAATCACTGACTAGTAACGTAAGTGTTAAATTTACTGATGAAATGTATAAAAAATATTTATTAACTAATTTATTCGCTGATAACGAAGGAATTGTTTCTGTTAATAATCTTATATGTAAATACCGTAATTTGCGTTATTATTGTGATAAATAGATTTGCGATGCATTGTATTGTGCAGACAATGAATTTGTAAAGAGATGTATACAAGTTTTCAAAGCACTCAACTATGAATTTAATTTTGAGCCTCTGTCGCGAATATCACACCAGAATATAATGGCATGATTAATAAACAGCATGAGAAATGGAGTTAAAGGGAAACTAGTTGGATGGCAATCCGTTCCCGATTCGGAACATTGGCCCTCTACAAACAAACGCGATTATGATTAAACAATATAAAGAATTACGCATTCTGAGTAACGAGACAGCTGCAAATTTCC